AGTGTTTAATTTTCAAAAACACAATTAAATAAACCACCAACCAACGCAACGCTTCCAAATAATACTAGAAAATAATTTGGAATCCACTAATTGTACGTCAATTGTGTATGTATAGCATTTGTTTCTGTTTTTTACAATAATTGTGTTTTTTTTACGAAAGTGATAACAAATCACCAAAAACCAATGTAACGCAAGAAATACTAAATTTTTACCGTTACTAATCGTTTGTACATACGTTTCAACTTTAAAATCAAAATTCTTAATAAGTATCGGGCGGAATTATAAAATTTAAAGTCTGTTGTAAAGAGAATTGTAAGAGCTTTCAAAAGAAATATTACTCAACTCCCAATGCCATTTAAATATTTTGGGGTGATGCTTACCCTTGCTTGGGGGTGAACGTGGCGGAGTCAAAAATACCAGCAAAAAATGTCCCCCTTTAATATAAATTCAACAGGTCTGAGCGTTTTTCTACAATCTTGACGCAGTTCCTGAAAATGGCTCTGTTTCGTTTTCATTTGGCCAGCTTGTATAATGAAATAATAGTGAATACAAGTAACCAATAGCATTAATTATCATATTTTGAATAGTGTTGAAGGTAAAACTTAGATATATCCTAGGTATTCCATTATCTGTTGGAACTCATTGAAACAATAGTACAAAGAAAATTTATAATTGAACCGTATTCATAATTCAGCACGAAATAATCGTCTGAAAAATTCATTATTCTGAATCTAAATTTTAATTTTAATCTTAGTTCTAAAATAAAAAGTGAGTTGAAATTTTTAAAAATATATTTAATTACACACTTTTTATCTAAAAGTTAATACTATATTCTTATTTAGCATATATACTTAGAAACCTCTACCAAAAATGAAATGTCTTTAAAAGTGCTCAAGATGAATACCCAAATGTTTCGTTTTTTTTTCTTTATCTAATTCATAATAAAAGTTTGTCGTAGAAATTTGTTCACTCCTAAAATTTTCGCATTTATCGAAAATATTTACATCGGAAAATGCATGGCAAAAGAACAGACAAAATTATTAAATGAACTTAACTAACTAAATAATTCTTCATTTTAATTAACTTCATTCCTTTTTCAATGCATTTTTCAATCATCTTAGTACTTTTCTTCTTTATTGTTTTCTATGTAATTTCGTCACATATCTGCCTAATTTTATTTTCATCTCTTCATCCTTTTCTTAACCTGTGGTTAGGTTCTATTCAATTCCCATAGCACCGCGACCTTGTCAGGCCTATTGTGCGTCCTACTGTTTGAACCTATTCAGCAAGTAGTTCTGTCCTTTCTACAAAATCCGAAAGCTTCCTTGCCGAAACTCTCTTAACTCCCTGGATTCCAAAAACGGTTTTCTCAGCTGCGTCATCCTACTACCTGCAAATCTTGGGCATTCGCCCAGGATATGGGGAGAAGTTTCATCCGCCGAATCACATCCTCTGCACACCGAACTCTCTACAAGCCTTAATTGGTATAGATGTTTTATTTTATCCAAGCTCAGCAACTCATTTTGATCTTTTCTGCAAAGGACACTCCATCCATCGCATTATTTTGCCCTGGCATTAACGTCCAGTATTTCCTATATTCCGACGAGTCCATTTGCCCAAAGCCCCTCTAACCACACCGGGAGATGTGCCACAGAGGGTCTCCGGACCTAAGAACTCTGTTTTGGGTCGCTTTCTAACAAGTTTATCCGCTTTCTCATTTCCGTCAATGCCTTTGTGTCCTCTTCAGGATTCTTGCATCCGTATCTCTGGCTATTTTGGAGCTGTCCTTAAACCATACCAGGTTCCATCTTTCCAGTGTATCAAACTTTTCCTCCCATTTGCTTTCATCCTCTATTCGAGACTCAAATGGCTTGCCGAAGTGAAATCTTGGAACCATCTTGTCGGATACCATCCTCAGAGTTGGTTCCGACATTATAATAGTGACTACCTCTCCAATCGTTATTGTTCCTGAGTCGGCATGCTGCTAACCACGCCTCTCTTTCCGCACTATATGAAGAGATGTTAGATTTATCATAACTTCTAGCATAGCTATCAGGTTGATGTCATCGCCCCCGTTATACCCATATAGCCCAGTCTCTGGATTTTATTCAGTTTTCCCTTGCTGTGGTGTTGCATTTTTTGTAACCATACCACAGTGCCATAAAATATCCTAGGTCTTACTATCGATCTATACATCCAGTATGATCCAGTTTTCCATCCGTACGCGTGCCAGATAAGCTCCTCAGCTAATACGAAGCTTATCCTTATTACTTTTTTTAATAGTGATCCAGAAATTCAGTTATTTAGTTAGATATTTAACATTGTAATTTTATTTCTTCATTTGCCATAAACTTGATGAGAATATTTCCAATTTGCTAGCTTAATGTTAAACAGAAATTTTTGAAAAAGTTTATCTCACTTAATATAAACGGCTCCGTTAAAGTAAAACAAAAACTAATTGTTTGGGTATCCATATCTTAAGCACTTTTAAATATATTTTTTTCAAAGGTAGGTACAGATAGTGATGCTAAGATAGATATATTACTAACTTTTAGATACAAAATTGCTAATATGTTTTTTTTTATAAATTCACCCAATTCACCCAATTCTTTTAATTTTAGAACCGGACCAAATGAAATTTGATTATCTCAGAGTAATCGCAATGCAAGTAATTGTTTCGTATTAAATTGTCAGTGTGTTTTATTTAAAAATAACTCCATGAAATGTGAAAGAGTAGATAACTCGGAACAATTTGAATTATATTTATATTTAATGGACCTCCTATATTGCAAATATACAGGGATAACGTTTACACACAATAAAATCAGTGGTGGTTGGTAACCACAGATTCTTAATTCTCTCGCAAGCTAGTTTGCGGACCCATGTTTACTAAGACTTTTTTGCTTCTAGTATCGTGTACTTACAACTGTTTCAATTTACGCTAATGATTATGATACACCCTGTATTGACAAATAATTTGTAGGTATATTATAGGAAATAAATTGAAGTTATTATACGTTTTAACATTTTGACTAAAATCTAGGATTAGTATTATTACTTATAATAAAAACAGCAAAGGATGTTATTATAAATACCTGACAAACAAAGGCATAAATATTTTGAAGTTTAATGAAAAATTGTTCCATACAGTGCATTTCCTCCATGATTTCCTTTCCAATTCCAAAAACCACTTCTGATATAACTGGTAACCATCCTAAAATGTTCAACAAAATATTTCATTGAACACTGAAAATATATCGAAAGTCTCTTCTTACTTTGTTCACTATTCAAGATACTATCCGAGCTATGTTGTAATAATAATGTAGACATAATACTGAAATTTTGACTGGTTTTCCAAAATTAAATTATTAGTGATTTGCTTGTCATTTTGACATTTTTTGACTTAAAGTAGTACGTTGTGTCTCATTTATTCAAGTTAATTTTTAATACAATAAATGTTAAAGTACATGATAAATTTTTTCAGCAACTTCTTTTTTTTACATAGCCTGATTGGTTAATTCAAGAATGATTCTTTCCCGGTTATTTCTGCAAAATGTTGACCAGGTTTAACTTTTCAGATTCTAACATTCTGTCTCTTTCAATGTGACGATTTTTCGAGATATAAACTTTACCGAGTTTATGTTGGTGTATGTCAAATGTACCGTTTTCGCGATAAAATGTGTGCAAGGGAAGTGAAACTGACGTCACAATTTCACAGCATTTTGCCTACAACAGCATAATCTGATCAAGACGTTTTCTGGTGTATTAATCCAGTAAGCAAAGGTTTTTTCCAGGAAAAAAATGTTGAAGTTTTTTCCTCACCGGTTCTATATGTTTTTTAGGGTGCTGAATCCGAATCTGAGTTTTGCCACCTCGCCAGATGTCGGCTTCACAAGGAAAATTGAAAAAAATCTCAAATTTTCGGTACTTTTTCAGTTTTTTAACTATAACTCGAAAACTAAGCGTTTTTTGATTATAACTATGATAACCCAAATTAAAGTAGACAAAATTTCCTATAAATACGTACAATAACTCTAAAGTCTGGACAATCCACAACGTCGTTAGATCGTGTTGAAAAAATGTCATTTCTTGACTTTCCGTTGAAAAAGTTGAAAATGTTATTCTAACTGGGCAATGGTGCCCTGGTTTTGATAGAAGGAAACATATTTGGAACAATTAATACAATTTGTATTTACTCGAAAAAAGTAAAATTTTCATATCCATTCATTGTCCTCCTCTGCAGAATTATCACCTGAAACAACGAGAATGGAGACTTTTTTTTAATAGAATCCATGTCGTTCATGTTCGTTATGGACAAAATTTATTGTCTTTGCACAATAGAGTTTAATATTATCTTTAAAAAAGAGAAAACCGAAAATAAGATAAAGAAGACAATACCTGCATAAGGCTCAGGATTGCGATCATAAATGTTCAGTGTAGATGGGCTGTATATCTGGAGCGCCGTAATTAGACCAAGCAAATTAAATTTTTACTCGAAAAAAGTCCTATCCGCGAGATTATTGTAAAATTGTCTAAAGGAACATAATACAAGACATCTCTCATCTCGTGAGTCAAAAACTTTTATTAGCTAACTTTTCTATTTAAACAAATAAGTGAGGAAAACAGTTTTTTCACTTTGCAGGGAAAACCATCAATTTTAGCGAAAAGTGACTC